TTAAGAAGAGACTGTACAGCCATTTGTCTGAAATGGTGTAGGGTTCCTGCCTGAGCAGGGGGTTGGACTCGATGACCTCCAAGGTCCCTTCCAACTTTATTATTATTATTATTATTATTATTATTATTATTATTATTATTATTATTATTATTATTATTATTATTATTATTATTATTATTATTATTATTATTATTATTATTATTATTATTAGAAAGATCAAAATATATATTTGAATTTGGCAAATCCTGATTTGATGATAATGTCTGAATAGCTTCTCGGTTATGACTTTTTCAATTCTAGACTACTCTTAATTGCTGATTGCTACAGTTTCATTCAAGAGAATTCCAGGTTTCAATGTGAGACTCGGGAAACTGCCCAGCACATCTCACCTTACTGCAGCTCTGGAGGCACCCCATTTTAACTTGAGCGCTCCTGTTGATAAGGCTGAAAGCAATCAGTAAGATTGGCTAGGCTTAAATGTAGGATCGCAACCTCTGAATCTTAGTTATAGACTAATTCTATGTTATGTTTCTACTGGGTGGTGGTGGGTTTTGATTTTTTAGGGGTTTTTTTGAGTCCGCAACATGCTGCATTTTGTTCACCAGGTGGCATCAAAGGTTAAGCATTTCTTTCAAATGTATTCAATCAACCGACATAAAATGACTACCCTTACTCCATCCTATCATGCTGCCAACTATAGTCCCGATGACAATCGCTTTGATCTGAGACCTTTCCTTTACAATTCTGCTTGGTCCTGGCAGTTCAGGTGTATAGATGAACAGGTAAGCATTAATCTGTTTTTATGTTCTGGTGCCATCCGTGTTTAGAGATGTATGCAGATATGGGACTGAACAGTCCTCTTTGTAGCCATAATATTTGTAGCTATTGTGATAGGATAAACTTTTTTCAAAGTAAGGTTTGGAATAATGTGAATACGATTTGCAATGGTAGTTGTGCCTGCTGAAGCCTCGGATCCTTTACAGTGATCATTCATGCATTGGCTACTGCTTCTATACTTTTTATGGTATTTTTTTCCCCCACACTTGAATAAATGAAAGTTCATCTCAGCCAAGATAAAATATACAAACTTGTTTTTCAAATGCCTGGGGAAATTTGAAGTGATTTATTTGCCTCAAATGAAAGGGTAGAGCTGAAGTCCTGTTTGCATCACCACTTAGCTTTGAAGATGATGGCGACCATGGATATGATTTTATTTTAACACTGGAGGCATCGGATGTGGAAAAATCAAGCATCCCTAATCATTGTGGCTTGTTTGTCGTTTTCATTCACAGC